TTTTTTTCCCTCCCAGCTGTCCAAAAAAGTTGAGTTCTTGATTTGATTCTAGGCATAGTCGACGTTGGTGTATAGCAGTGCTACAACTTGTGTACGTTGATTTTGTATCCTAAAACTTTACTGAATTTATCAGATATAGGAGGGTTTCTAAATGAATGTCTGGGATTTTCTAGGGATATGATCATAACATCAGCGAACATTGACAGTTTGACTCCCACTTCACCAATTTGGATGCCCTATATTTCATTCTTGTCTGAATGCTCTGTAGAAAATTTCCACAGTTACAATGAATAGAAGTGATGAAAGTGTGCATCCTTGTCATGTTCCAGTTCTCAAGGAAAAATGCTTTCAACTTTTCCTCATTCAATATAATGTTGGCTGTGGGCATGTCATAGATGGCTTTTATTACCTTAAGGTGTGTCCCTTCTATGTTGATTTTGCTGAGGGCTCTAATTTTAAATAAATACTAAATTTTATCAAATACTTTTTCTGCATCTATTCAGATGATCCTGTGATTTCTGTTTTGGATTCTCTTTACGTGGTGTATCACACTTACTGACTTGGATATGTTAAACCATCCTGCTGCACTGGTATGAAACCCACTTGATCATAGTGGATTGTCTTTGTGATATGCTGTTGGATTCGGTATTTGGTTGAGGATTTTTGCATCTATGTTCATCAGGGATACTGGTCTGTAGTTTTCCTTGTTACGTCCTTTCCTGATTTTGGTATTAGAGTGCTGCTGGCTTCACAGAATGATCGAGAGAATTTGCTCTTTGCCTATCTTTTCAAACGGTGTCAATAGGATTGGAATTTTTTTTTAATGTTTGATAGAATTTGGCTGTGAATCCATCTGGTCCTGGACACTTGTTTGTTGGTAATTTTTAAAAACTACCATCCGTATTGTCGGGATAAGTTCAAACTGCATCCTAATTACCTGCTGTAAGAGTTCTGGATCACTGTTGCGATGACTGTGAAACTGTAGGTGAGAGAGTGGGATTCATACTGGAATCCTAAGACTCCCACGCAAAATCTGTCATTTGAACTTAGCCATAGCAGTAAATCTCTCTGACAGGCTCAAGAAAGAAAAAGGCCAAGAGAAAAAATAGAAGTATACTCATGATGTCACAAATTTCTAACAATCAAATATTATTAGATTTACAGCTTGCCTTTTAAAATACTGTGAGGATTAATATAGCAAAATAAAATTCTTCACTAAAAAAAATAAAAATAAAAATAAAAACTACCATCCGTATTAGTCTATTCTCACATTGCTATAAGGAAATATCTGAGACTAGATTAATATATAAATGAAAGAGCTTTGACTCCCAGTTCTACATGGCTGGGAAGGTTTCAGGAAACTTACAATCATGGCAGAAGGCAAAGGGGAAGTGAGGCACCTTTTTCACAAGGCAGCATGAAGGAGAATGACCAAAGGAGGAACTTCCCAAACACTTAAAATCCATCAGATCGCCTAAAAACTCACTCACTATCACAAGAACAGCATAAAGGAAACCAGCCCCATGATTCAGTTACCTCCACCTGGTCTCCTCCTCGAAACGTGGGGATCATGAACACAAATTCAAGATGAGATTTTGGCTGGGGACACAGACAAACCATATCACTTCACTCCTGGCCCCTCCCACATCTCATATCCTCACATTTTAAAACAATTTTTTTTGGTGTGAACAAAACAATCCTCCCAAACCTTAACTAAGTCCAGCATTATCCTACAAGTCCAAGTCTAAAATCTCATCGAAGACAAGTTCCTTCCATCTATGAGCCGGTAAAATAAAATCATTTATCTCCTAGATAAAATGGGGGTAGATGCATTGGCTAAATACACCTGTTCCAAATGGGAGAAATGGGCCAAAACAAAGGGGCTACAGGGCCCATGCAAGTCCAAAATCCAGCAGGGCAGTAAAACCTTAATGCTCCAAAATTATCTCTTTAACTGTATGTCTCACATCCAGGCCATGCTGATGCAAGAGGTGGGCTACCACAGCCTTGGCCAGCTCCACCTCTATGGTTTTGCTGGGTACCGCCCCCTTCCTGGCTGCTTTCACAAGGCGGCATCGTCTGTGATTTTTCCAGGTGCATGGTGCAAGCTGTCAGTGAATCTACCATTCTGGGGCCTGCAGGAGGGTGGCTGTCTTCTCACAGCTCCACTAGGCAGTGTCACAACGGGGGCTTTGTGTGGGGATTCCAAAACCACATTTCCTTTCCACACTGCCTTACCATAGGTTCTCCACATGAGCTATGCCACCACAGCAAACTTCTGCCTAGACATCCGGGCATTTCCATACATCCTCTAAAATCACAGTGGAGGTCTCCAAACCTCAATTCTTAACTTCTGTGCACCCATAGGCTCAACACCAAGTGAAAGCTGCCAAGGCTTGGGGCTTGAACCCTGGGAAGCTGTACACTCAGGGTTTAGCCATAGCTAGGACACGGCCCCAAGTCCCAAGCAGCAAGGCACTGAGCCTGGATCATGAAATTATTTTTTCTCCTATGCTTTCAACCATGTGATAGGAGGGAATGCTATAAAGGCCTCTGACACGTCCTGAAGACATTTTCCCCATTGTCTTGGCAGTCAACATTTAGATCCTCATTACTTATAAAAATTTCTGCAGCTGGCTTGAATTTTTCCTCAGAAAATGGGTTTTTCTTTACTATCACACCACCAGGCTGCATTTTCCAAACTATTAGCCTCTGCTTCCCTTTTAAACCTGTTTCAATTTCAAACCATCTTTTTTTTGAATGCATAAAACTAAGTGCTTTTAAGAGCATCTAAGTCACTTCTTGAATGCTTTGCTTTTTGGAAATTTCTTCTGCCAGATACTCAAATTTATCTCTCTGAATTTCAATGTACTGCAGAGAGGGATAACATGGGGAGAAATGCCAGATATAGTATGCCCCTAAAGTAAAATACATAAATTTTTTTTAAAAAAAGAAAGTTCTAAACTTACCCACAACTTCCTGTGTTCTTCTGAGCCCTCCAAATTGTTCCAACCTCTGCCTGTTACCCAGTTCCAAAGTTATTTCCACATATTCAGGTATCTTTATAGCACCACCCCCACTTTCTACAGATTTACTATATTAGTCCACTCTCACATCGCTATATGAAAATGCCAGACACTAATTTATCTGATAATGTGATTTTTCTTTTTTTTTTTTTAAGACAAAGTTTTGCTCTTGTTGCCCAGGCTGGAGAACAAAGCCACGATCTTGGCTCACTGCAACCTACACCTCCCGGGTTCAAGTGTTTCCCCTGCCTCAGCCTCCCAAGTAGCTGGGATTACAGGCATGCACCACCAAGCCCAGGTAATTTTGTAGTTTTAGTAGAAACAAGGTTTCTCCACGTTGGTCAGGCTGGTATCGAACTCCCAACCTTAGGTGATATGCCTGCCTCAGCCTCCCAAAGTGCTGGGATTACAAGCGTGAGACATTGCACCCAGCCAAGACTCAGTGATTTATAAAAGAAACACATTTAATTGACTCACAGTTCCACATGGCTGGGAAGGCCTCAGGAAACACAATCATGGCGGAAGGCAAAAGGGAGCTTCTTCACATGGTGGTAGGAAGAATGACTGAAGGAGAAACTTGCCAAACATCAAACCGTCAGATCTCGTGAAAAAAGTTACCTCCACCTGGTCTCTAATTCAAGAAGAGATATTGGGTGGGGGACAGCCAAACCATGTCACCATCTCAGTGCTGCTCCTTGTTATTGGTCTGTTCAGAGTTTCTATTTATTTCTGATTTAATCTAGGAGAGTTTTATAGTTTGGAATTCATAAATCTCCTTTAGGTTTTCTAGTTTGTGCACATAAAGGTGTTGAAAGTAGCCTTAGTGATCTTTTCTACTTCTGTCATATTGTTTGTAATATCTCCCATTTCATTTCTAATAACTAGATTTTCTCTCTTCTTGATTAATCTCACTAAAGGTCTATCAATTTTGTTTCTCTTATCAAAGAACCACCTTTTTGTTTCATTTATATTTTGTAAGTTTTGTTTGTTTCAATTTCATTTAGTTTTGCTCTGATCTTTTGTTACTTCTTTTATTCTGCTGGGTTTTGGTTTGGTTTGTCCTTCTTTCTCTAGTTCTTTCAGGATTAACCTTAGACTGTACTCTTTCAGACTTTTTGATGTAGGCATTTAATGATATAAACTTTTGTCATAGCACCACTTTTCCTGTATCTCAGAGGTTTTGATAACTTGTATCGTCATTATCATTCAGTCCAAAAAGTGTTTAAGTTTCCACCTTGATTTCACTATTGCCCCAACGATCATTCAGGAGCAGATTATTTAATTTCCATGTACTTGCATGGTTTTTGTGTTCCTTCTGGAGTTGATTTCCAATTACACTCCATTGTGGTCTAAAAGAGTACTTGATATGATTTTGATTTTCTTAAATTTAATGGCACTTGTTTTATGGCTTATCATATGGTCTATGTTAGGGAATGTTCCATGTGCTGATGTGTACTCTGTAGTTGTTGAATAGAATGTTCTGTAAATATCTTTTAAGTCCATTTGTTCTAGAATACAGTCAAGCCCATTGTTTACTTGTTGACTTTCTGTCTTAATCTGTGTAGTGTTGTCAGTGGAGTATGAAAGTCCCCCACTGTTATTGTGTTCCCATCTATCTCACTTTTTAGGTCTAACAGTAATTGTTTTATAACTTTGGAAGCTCCAGTGTTAGATGTATAGAGATTGAGGACTGTGATATTTTACTATTCGATGAGTCTTTTTATCCTTTCTTTTTTTAATTGCTGTTGCTTTCAAGTTTGTATTGTCTGATACATGAATAGCTACTCTTGCTCCCTTTTGGGGTTCATCTGCATGGAGTATCTTTTTTCACTCCTTTACCTTAAGTCTATGTGAATCCTTATGTGTTAGGTGAGTCTCTTGAAGACAGTAGATACTTGGTTGGTTAATTCTCAGCCATTCTGTCATTCTATATCTTTTAAGTGAAGTATTGAGGCCATTTACATTCAACGTCAGTACTGAGATACAAGGTATTCTTCTATCAATCATGCTAATTTTTGCCTGAATACCTTGGATTTTGTTTTATACTTTAAGTTCTGAGGTACATGTGCAGAACGTGCAGGTTTGTTACATAGGTGCCATGGTGGTTTGCTGCATCCATCACCCCATCATCTACATTAGGTATTCCTCCTAATGCTATCCCTCACCTACCCCCTAGCCCCGGAGAAGCCCTGGTGTGTGATGTTCCCCTCCCTCTGCCCATGTGTTCTCATAGTTCAACACCCACTTATGAGTGAGAACATGTGGTGTTTGGTTTTCTGTTCTTGTCAGTTTGCTGAGAATGATGGTTTCCAGATTCACCCATGTATCTGCAAAAAACATGAACTCATCTTATTTTAAGGCTGCATAGTATTTCATGGTGTAAATATGCCACATTTTCTTTACCCAGTCTAACACTGATGGGAATTTGGGTTCATTCCAAGTCTTTCCTATTGTGAACAGTGCTAAAATAAACATGTACATGTGTCTTTATGACAGAATAATTTATAATTGTTTAGGTATACACCTAGTAATGGGATTGCTGGGTCAAATGGTATTTCTAGTTCTAGATCCTTGAGGAATCACCACACTGTCTTCCACAATGGTTGAACTAATTTACACTCTCACCAACAGCTTAAAGGTGTTCCTATTTCTCCACATCTTCTCCAGAATCTGTTGTCTCCTGATTTTTTTAAATGATCGCCATTCTAATTGGCGTGAGATGGTATCTCACTGTGGTTTTGATTTGCATTTCTCTAATGACCAGTGATGATGAGTGTTTTTTG